GTTGATGGTGTCCTTGTCCCCTTCGTGCACGTGTAAAATGTCATACCACTCCCGTCTCATGAGGAAGTCCAAGCTGTTCGCTTTGCGTGTCGCCTGATCCATCGACCAGTATTTCTGGTTGCCAGACCACCGATTGTGATCTTTGACAARCCTGTAGTTGTTGCGCAYGAAGTGGTACCGGTTCTTGCACTCRTCGTCTTCTCGGATGTRCTGTGCCTGTTTCATTCTGCCACTCACATCTGCCCACAACCGGACCTTCAGAGGAGCGATTCCCATGGCTTCGGAGTTCTCCCCCATACCCGTTTTCACGTCGTACACAGTCCGTAGAAGCACTGTCGTCTCCTTCTCCCCCCATCTATTGGAAGCCTTCTTCTTTTTACCCTTATCAGCCGGCGGGCCAGATCATGCCTCCTCTTGCGCCACTGCTTTCTTCTGGGACGGGCCAGCTGCTGCAGGCGACATATTTGACACGTTCGATTGTAAACCTTCGCGGGTTGTGCTTGTCTCAGCTTCGTGGGCACAGGCTTGCAGTCCGCGAGGAACTCCTCGCCCTTCACACCCATCACGGATGGGCGTCTGTGTCCATGCGAAATTCAACTACTGCTGAAGACTTTGAGAACGAGTGTCCCCTGTGGGATCCACATCTCCAAACTCTATGTCATGGATGATTTGCTGGAGAACTGTGCGAGTTTGTGGACAAGGTGCCCCACCGCCCGACACATGCTCGTCAACATCAATGACAGGGTTGTGCAGCTGGTGACTGCGCACGGGCAATGGGCTGGCTGGGCCGCCCCTCTCTTCCATTGATGGAGATCCGGCTGGCAGAGTGCTGTGCGCGGACACGGGGGTGAAACCGCAACCCACCGATGGCGACTATGTGGCCGAAGGCGCAAATGCAGTACTGTGCAAGGGGGTGACAGGGGTGTCCAATGCGGTCCTTCGGCCCTGAGATGTGAGAGGCACGGTCTCTACTACTGAGGATGCAAGGAAAACTGCGAGGGAAACGACAATGGTGTAAGGGATGCATGGTGAACTGCTGCGAAGCCTCCGCACAAACCGTGATGCCCAGCAGATGCCATGGCACGTAGGCGAAGACTCTCTCGTAGCTGGTCCTCATCACCTTCCACGGTGGTCACTCGCCACGTCAATCTGCGAATAGGGGATCTGCATGCAGTCGGCTTCCTGAACTTGGGAGCCGGGCATCCACCCCCAGTCTTCAATGTTAGACAGTCCAGGATCGCTGGAGCCAGCCATGTCCGGTGTGTGTATGCCGGGTTCGAAGCGCG